ATGTTCTCACTGTGGCCCTTGTGGTGAAGAATGCGACACCTGCTCCGTCTTCTGGATATTGAACTGGAAAAAAAAAATTTTTTTTTTTATGATTATTGTTGATTGAGGATAAACTCGAGGGTCCTTAAAATAAAAGAAGAAAAAAAACATACTTTCGTTTGCACCCCAGAAAACACATTGTATATCACTGTATTTTCGTTTTAAGTTGGAAGCCGTTAGCGAATGTTAACAAATGTAAGCACACTTTTTGGATGTCTAACCAATTTTATATAAATTACGTTATCTAATGGTCAAAAGGAGTTTGCCGGGTAGGACAATTGGTTGGAATTCCAAAAAGGCGTCCTTATAATATTGAGAACTTATAAATTTACCTGTCATTACAATAAGAAGGATAACTAAGACTATCTGGAGCTCTTAGGGAAATTCGGACGGCACCAGGAATAGGAGGTTCCTAATCATAATTACAAATCAATGCGAAATTTCCGAATTTTAGGGAAAGGAGGGATTTGTGAATTACCGTTTTTAAATAAAGTTGTTTTAACACAATTTCGGTAATGAGATAAACGAGAATTGCAATCTGAAAGGTTCGAAACAAGATCCCTAAACGGCGGCTATTCAACATTAGAAGGAAAACCAATGGTTAACGGAAAATTGTATCGTTAATAAAAAAAAGAAGGAAAAAAAGAAACTTACTCCTTAACTTTTACGACTTTGAAGGTATCATAACTAATTGTTTAAAATCAATAAGATTGATATTGTGTGAGCCACGTTGGAGTGAAAGAAAATATTTTAAATGAAATTTTTCGTACCTAAAGACTTCATCTAAATCGACCATTGTGTGTGTGAAAAGGAAACCAGAGATTTATAAACTTATCCTCTTGGAAATGTGACGAGTTTCGAAGAAACAGAGATTCATTGGCGGATCGATATTTATCGGCAGACGTGCATAATTACATAATTACTTCACTATGACAGGTTGAGGCTTCTAATGATAAATTTAATTAAATTTAAAAACTGACCGATTGGTAAAAATTTAATCAAATGCATGTAATAGTGATAAGTCAAGATTGAGGGTGTGTGCGCCTATATCAGCCTTGCGTTACCACGTTCGCAAAATCGTTTTAGTTTTTAGGACGATGTCCACCGGTTTTCATCATCAATGGAAGTTTGCGCTACATATAAACGCGACAGTCAAGCAGGCACAATGAATGCTATTATAACACCATTTTGCATTGGGGGGACACTTGAGATAATTTCTAATGAAAGATACCAAATAAGGCCCTGACATTGCGCCTCCAGGGTAACACAAAAGAGAATACTAAACCAGGGAGAATGAGATTTCATCCTGTTTGTCCCATCAAGAAAGAATTTTTTTTTTTACAGATACGTGGGATTCGTTTGGCAAAGAAACTTCCAATGCTAAATCGATTCCTTCCACGGTCACTTGTTGATGTCGGTTAGCTCTCATCCGTGAGCTCAAACAGAACTTCGGCATTAAGTCCTACGGATATTTTTGAAACACCAAGTGCTACCGTGACACCAAGTTTGTCGTCGTCACGAGATGACCTGGCATCACCAAGTGCCAATGTCCCTTCGACGTTCCCACAAACAGAACTTCGGCATTAAGTCCTACGGATATTTTTGAAACACCAAGTGCTACCGTGACACCAAGTTTGTCGTCGTCACGAGATGACCTGGCATCACCAAGTGCCAATGTCCCTTCGACGTTCCCACAAACAGAACTTCGGCATTAAGTCCTACGGATATTTTTGAAACACCAAGTGCTACCGTGACACCAAGTTTGTCGTCG